TGGCTGCAGAGGGCACCTTGTCCTCATGCCCAACCCTACACCCCCATCTCCTGTGTTTGTGTCCACCTGGAGGTTTCAACAGAGGGAAAGTGAAAGGAGGACAGCTGGGTTTGGCATCATTCACACATTATTCCTCTTGGTGGAAAATCAGCACAGGTGACAATGTGCTGCCAGAAGGGTTCACGTCTGCACCAGGCTGGGATTTGCAGCCCAGGATCCTGCCTCACTGCTGTGCCCATAGGAAGCAGCATGGCCCTTGCTCTTCCCATAAATAATGGTGAGGCATTGAAACAGGCTGCCCAAGAAGGTGGTGGAGTCACTGTCCCTGGAGGTGTTCCAGAAAAGTGTGTGGATGAGGGACATGGTTAGTGAGCATGGTGGGGATGGGATGGTGGTTGGATTGGATGCTCTCAGAGGACTTTAGCAGTCTTGATGATTCTGTGATTCCTCTAGCATTCCTCTGCTGCTGGAAGCTTTTGCTCTGCAGGGAAGCAGGGCCTTCAAGCTATGTTGTTTGTATGGGAACCTCCTGGAAGCGGCTGGAGGTCTCCAGGCCATGCTTGAAAGTTACCCTCCCTTTGCCACTCTAAACCGTGACCTCCTCCTCCTGCCTCTGCCACTGGAGCCTCCCTGCAGCAAGAAGGCCCTGTGGGGTGTCTGCTTCCCTGGGGCCAGCCTTGTGATCAGACAATACCCAGCACTCCCAAGCAAGCCCTGTCCTTAGCCAGCCTCTCTCAGCCAATCTCAATAAAATCACAGTATTATTAGGGTTGGAAAATATCTCTAAGATCACCTGGTCCAACCACCAGCCCATCCCCACCATGCCCACTGACCACATCCTCAGTGCCACATCCACATGGTTCTGGAACACCTCCAGGGACGGTGACTGCACCACCTCCCTGGGCAGCCTGTGCCACTGCAGCACCGCTCTTTTGGAGAAGACATTTTTCCCAGTATCCAACCTGAAGCTCCCCTGGTGCAACTTGAGGCCATTCCTTCTCATCCTATCATTGTTACCTGGGAGCAGAGGCTAACTCCCACCTCCTTTCACGTCACTGTAGAGAGCACTGTGTTCTCCACTGAGCTCCTGTCCTTCAGATTGAACAACCCCAGTTCCCTCAGCTGCTCCCCATCCAAACCCCTCACCGCTCCGTTGCCCTTCTCTGGATGCACTCCAAGGCCTCCATGTCTTTCTGGTAGTGAGGGGCCCAGAACTGACCACAGGACTCGAGGTGCAGCCTCACCTTCCCCACTCCTCCTGTTGCTTGGCCTCCTGGTTTCAGGAATGTCCCGCCATGGCAGTAAGGCAAGCAGCCTGCGTGCCTGGCACTCAGCCTTTCCCTTACAGTCGTTTGGCACTGAAAATTATCTGCAGACAAGAGCGCCGTACCTGGGTCTTAATTTCCTCCCTCGCCAAACCATTACTACTAATTACCTCTCCTAGGTGTTGAAACCATTTAAGCGACACTGCTAAATGCCCTGTGTTAATTTAATTGCCATGGAGCCGGGTTTCCCTGCATGCAGAGCTCTCACAGGGTCTCAGCAGAAGCAAAGCTGTCTCTCATACACTCTTCAGCCCTGTCTTTGTGGGACCAGACATGTTGGCTTGTCTCAGTCACAGGGCAGGAGGTCTCTGAGACCCCCTGGCCCTTTTCAGGACCGGTGGTGTGGAGGAGAAGGCTGTGGTGAAGGAAATGGCCGGGAGCCAGCGAAGCCAGTGCTGGTAGAGTTTAGCTGGGACAGGAGGGGCACTGTGACCCTGGGTGAGGACGGGGCTGGCACCCACCCGAAGTGTCTGCATAGCCCAGGGGATGGGGCAGAGGAGGACTGCTGTCCACGCGCAAGTCCTTTGCATTGCTCAATGCGACAGATTCACTAGAGAACGTTAGGGAAGTGCTTTGAACATGAGAAGTGCTGAGTGCTGCTGTTCCTTGTTACTGCATGGAGACCGGCCCTGTCTGGGGCACAGAGCAGAACTGGGCACATCTGATTCTCAGATATTGCCTTCCCCCTCCTGCCCTGACCCACAAAAGCAAGGAGAAAGAAGAAAGTGGAGAGGAAGAAGGGTGCACACCTTTAGCCCTGATGAGGAAGGAACATCTCTGAGAGCCAGGGGCTGAGCTGTGCCCCCCATCATGGCCGGGCACCGTGCAGGACATGGGGCTGGAGCCGTGTCTGGCAGCGTCCCACTTGCAGGGTTGGCCACATCCTGTCCTGCTTTACTGCCTCCCCCTCCCCCCCCGTGCCCTGGTTTTGTAAGGAAGGGGTCCCCAGGGAGGAGCCGAAATGGGGCAGCGGGTGGGGGGAGCATGGGGAGCGATGGCTCAACGATCCCATCCTGCCCTGGGGAGCACAGCCAGGAATTTGGGGAGCGGTCAAGTAAAACCCTCCACACACCCAGCCTCATGGCCACTTCTCAAGGTTGGAGGACAGCGTGGCTTAAGTTTACCTGTGCTCACTGTAAAGCAAAGCCTCATCATCCCTCCTTTTCCTCCTTTGCTGTGAAGGCTGTGGGGCTCCATGCCACCCCCTGGGTGAAGGCATCGGCAGGGCTTGGCCCCATTGCTATTTTCCAGGTGCTCCTCCAGCCCATCAGGGCCTTTTTCACTTTAATTCCACTCCCCCTTGCACCCTCCAAAAAATAAATCCACTTGAACGAGGACCGAGTTATAAAAAAAAAAATCTTTATTTCATGTACCAGGAATTTTTTTTTTTTTTTGTCATTTTCTCTTTTTAAAATTTTTTTTTCTTTTTAACAGTCTGAAAAAAAACCCACGAAAGAAAAGTAAATGGAGGTCGGTTTTTCTTGTACTGCTTTGAGCTGGACATGTGCAATACCCTCGGAAGAACGCATCCCTGCCAGCCCTCATCCCTCCCCATCCCTGGCAGGGGGGTCCGGCACTTGTCCCCTGCCTCTCCCTGTGAATGCTCTCCAGCTCCATGGAGCTTTTGGGTTTAACCCCAAACACTGCTCTTCCTTATGCTGCAGTCCGGGGCACCGAGCATCGCTTGTCCCTATGGGCCGGTGGGGGTTTGTTTGGAATTTTTGTCCCCTTTTTTTTTTAATAATATTATTTTTTAGAGTTTGAGTGGAGGGAGGTTTGTGAGCAAGGGTCTGGATATCCAACCTGCTCCCCTCGCCCTGCCATGGGGGCTGAGGCTGAGATATTTGGGGGCGATGGGGTTGGAGGCATCGGGATGCTTTTAAGCAGAAACCCCACTGGGAGCCGAAGTGGGAGCCTGGCAGGCTCCTGAAACTGGAGCAGCAGGGACGGGAATGGAAAAAAAAGAAAAAAAAATCATATTAAAGCCAGAAATTTGAAAAAAAAATAGGTCTGAGCTGCCCCAGGGCTCGGCGCACCCATCCTGCGCACACCACAGCTTATGGGGGCAGCCCCTGAGGATCCTATCCCCAGGGACCCTGACCCTCCTCCCCTCTTCACGTCCCCATCCCCCCCCTGTGCAGGTGCACCAAATCTGTATGAATTCAGCTGAATCCAGGCAGCGTGGGGGGGCTGCTACAAAGGGACCCCCCCAAAGCGGGAGGTGGGTGCCCTGGGTGGGGGGAATGGGGGCTTGTTGTGGGGGCAGGGGGGATGACCAGGAGTATTTGGGGAGCCTGTGAGCATTCACAGGGGAGTGAGTGTGTGCCCCCCACCCTGCACCAGCCCCCCTGCAGCAGCACGCTGAGCAATGAGAGCCCTTCTCCCCTCTGGGTCCCCCCACCCTCCAACCCCCTCCCCCCCCCTCTGCTGCCCACCTTGATTTTTCACAGTTTAAAGCTGGAGAAAATAAAAATGAAAACAAAAATAATGCTATCTGTTTTCTCTTGCAAGTAAATCCACTTATTATATTTACATTTATTTATAGTTGCTTTTTTATTAAAAAAATTGCCACTTTTTTTGTCTTTTTTTTTTAAGAAACCTTTTTTGACCTTTTTTTTTTTTCCCTTTTTTTTCTTTTCTTTTTTTATTTTTTTATTTTTCTTTTTTTTTCTTTTTGACTTTGCATGTCTCTGCTTTTTCGCGCTGTCATTGCTGACCCTGGTCGATGGGAGGGGAGAGGGGGGGGGGTCCCCAGAACCTGGGGAGCCCCCAGGAGCCCGGGGAACACTGCAGGCAGCTCCTGTGCTCCCAGGGCATAGCGGCCACCTTTGCTCATAGGGACCCGCAGGGGACAAGTGGCTCCTGGGCTCCCAGGAGGGGCTGAGCGGGTCCTGGAGGGGCTGAGTGCCCCCCTGCACCCTGAGAGCCCCTGCAGCCCTCAGCTGACCTTGGGGACATGGAGGGGTTGCTGCAGGTCCGGCCCCCCCAGGAGCCTGCGCTGAGCTGAAGGAAGTGGGAAATGAACCATAAAATTAAAGAATCCCCCCCCCCCAAACCCAAAGAGCTGCCACCTCCTCTTCATACTCCTTCTCCTCTTCCTCCCACTTGGTTTATTGTCGTTATTTCTTGGTTCCCTTTTATATTTTTTTTTTAAATCTCTTTTTATTAAATGTTAAAATAATGGTACATGGGAAATCATGCATTTTCTTTTAAATTTATTTCTATTTTTTTTTTTTTTAAATCTCTTTCTCTCGGTTTTAAATTTTTTTTTTTTTTTTTTTTTTTTTTTTTTTTTTTTTTTTTCAAGTTTTTTTTTTTTTTTTCTCTGTTGTTTCTTCCCTCACGTTTCCTTTTGTATTTTGTTTGCTCGCTGTACGTTTGCTTTGTGTTCACGTGCTCGTTTGTCTGCTTATCTCTTTGCTCGCCGGTCGCTCCGTATTTTATTTCCTATTTTTCGCGCGTGGTTTTTTTTTTTAATGCTTTTTTTTTTTTCTTTTTACACTTTTTTCTCTATGTTTGTTTGTTTGCTTGCTTGTTTGTTCGTTTGTTTTTTGTTTGTTTTTTTTTGCGATTGCGAGGGCCCCACCCTGGGGGCGCTCACACCTCCTCCCACCCCGCCACCCCTCTGCCCCCACCCCCCAGCCCACCCCCCCCTCCCCCGTCACCCACCCCATCCTCCTGCCTCCTCCTTTCCCACTCGCAGCTCCTGGCGGCGGCTTCATACCGGGGTGGTCCGGCGGTTGGCTGTGTTGGTGTGGATCGAGTCCTTGTTCTCCTTCTGGATACAGTTGTGAACCTGGAGGAAGCTGTTATCCCTGTCGGAGTTGTAGGTAGCGGTAGGGGTGGTGGTGGCCTTCAGCGGGTCCCTGCTCAGGGTGTACATCGAGATCTCTGTTGATGGAAGGGTGTTGAACCCTTTGATCCCGACGGGAGAGGCATCCCTGGAGTGTGAAGGCTCGGTGGAGCGGGAGCTGGAGCGGCTGCGTCTCTGGTAGCGGTACCGGTAGCTGGGGATGCGGGTGATGGCGGAGGACTGGAGGTAGTCCGTGGCGCGAGCGTTGGCGCGCAGCTGTTTGTGCCGGTCAATGAACATGTGGACGGCCAGCACTCCCACCATCTCGGCTATAATGAAGGACAGGGCCCCAAAGTAGAAGGACCAGCCGTAGGAGTAGCTGTTCTTCTTGGAGTCGCTCTTCGAGGGGTCTCCAGCGTTGGCTGATATGTATACGATGATCCCGATTATATTACTCAGACCTGGAGGAGAGGCAGCCGTCAGGAGGACAACGCGTGGTGGTGGCCGTGGGATGAGACTCCTGCCCTCCTGCTGCCAGGAGGGGTAATGGAGTCCCATACCTACCTGCTGGTCTCCAACACAGCTTTTCCTGGGCAAGCCCTTGCTCCTGCGTCCCCCACACCCTGATGGCCCCCTAAAGCCACCAGCCATGAGGATCCTCCCTCCCTATGTGGCAGACGGAGAGCTTCTTCAGGTTGTTGCCTTCATCCCAGGTTGGAAAAGCAGCCCTCCCTTACCCCGGAGCCCGGCCCACACATGTCCCATTACCTGCAGACACGAAGAAGATGCCGGCACTAAGGATGATGTTGTGTCGAGTTTTGTAGAACTCGCTGGCTGCAATGCAGAGTCCACCCATGAAAAGCAGAATCACACTCAGGATCGGAAAAATACTAGAGGCTCTAACAGCCCCTGCGGAGGAGAGAGGGAGAGGGGCAGAGACAACAATGCACGTGTCAGAGAGAAGAATCAGGGCTGTGGCAGCAACATGGGGTGAGGGGACCAGGGGGCATGACTTGGGGGAGTCAGAGTAATTCACGGAGGAGTAAAAAGGGGGTGAGAAGAGAGAGACAAAGTGTGTCAGAAGATGCTGGTGATGAAAGAGCTAGGCTTGTTCCAGAGGACAGGGGTTGGTGTGCGTGTGCCAGCTCCATACACATGCCATTGGTCAATAGTGGATAACTCAGCTGGCAGAGGGCAATGACACCAATGCACGCAGATGCACAATGAACCCTAGAGCTCTGGGGGAAAACTCGCGTGTATTCAGGCAGTTTGCATTGGTTTGTGTTGGCACTGTTTGTGTTTTTTTACTGAGAAGGGCTTCCCTCCTCTCTTCCCAAGAGGAAGTAATCTGTAAAGCGTGAAATGAAGCCTTGCTTGCTAAAGAAAGGTATCAGATGGGTTGGTGCAATTCTGCTTGTGGAGCAAAGATAGGGAAAGAAGGATGAAAGCCAAACACTCCTTGCCTACAGGAACGGACCCTCCTGAAGCAAATCACGGAATCATAGAATATCCCAAGTTGGAAGGAATCCATAAGGATCATCAAATCCAGCCCCTCAGTCCCAAAAGTGGGACATTTTCTGGTGCAAGAATAGACTTTTTTCAAAGACCCTGCTGGTGTTTGAGTCCTACCAGGCAGAAGAAATGGGCTCTTTGAGTGGGGGGCCAAGCCCCCTGCTGGTGTGTTGAGAATGCAATAAGCAGGGATAAACCTCTCGCTTGCTTTCCATCTCTCCTTGGCTGAGTTTCAGGGAACAGGAGAGTGATAATAACCATCTTAATAGCTTCTGGAAGGCAAGGCAGAATTCAACAAGGTGAAGCTAAATGGAGGTGAGCAAATATCAAGCCAGCATCCTCTGTTTGGAAGGTTTCTAGAGGGACGCTCACAACCCTGCTCTGACCTTATCAGTTTTAACTGGGTCTTATTTCAGAAATTCCCACATGCTAGGAGAACCAGAATGTGCCCGCTGATGTGGGGAGCTGCAGGCAGCGTGAAAAGTGTGAGGGTAGGCCCTGCTTCCTGCTCCTTGGAAGGACCAAGGAAGCAAGAGAGGGGCAGGGTTTCATCTGGTTTTCTGGATCCTTGGGTCTAAAGACAAAAGGATTTGTGATGGTATTTGGATGCTCATAGCATCTGCCTATTTTCTAACTTCATGTTAGCAAGTGAACACAGGGATGCTGCTGCTTCCTCTCTAATGGATGTTTAATTCTCAGAAACATGAGATACCTTCTGAAGAGGTCTGACAGGCATCAAGTCTAAGCCCTTCTAGATAGGCCACGGGCACTGTCCCATGATTATTGTAGTCCTTGAACCGAAGGGATCACTTAAGTTGATAACAATGAATACCCTCCCAGCTGCCCTTGCCAGCACCACCACCCATGGACTCAATTTGGCAGAAGGCTTGGGGAAGAGGCTCCTTGGTGGGGTCCTTATGCAGCCAGGCAGCAGAAGCCCAACTTCCTCAAGGACAGACCTCAGGAGTCCTTAACTAAGTGGCCAAACCCCACTTCGAATCTAATTTTTCAAAAATGTTCTGTCTTAGGACACTCTCAGGTCCTGGCATTATCCAGATTTTGCATATGCATCTTGTTCCCTCTGAGAGAATGAATTCACAGCTCTTGGGATGCTCACTCCCTACCCCAGCTCTCCTTCCTGAAGTTCAAAGGATGCTTGCAGTTTCCTCACTCCCAAACAGTAAGAGTGCAAGCAGTAAGAGCCATCTCTTTTCATATACGAATGAGCTTTTCAGAGTCTAAATTCTCTCTCATCTCTGCCACAGGGCTGGGTCTCCACATCTGGCTTCCAGCACAGCTGGCTGACAAGGAGCAGCTTTGATATGCTGCTGGTCTTTGGAGACCTCTGGTGCTTCACCTTGGGAGGTCAAAATCTCTTGTCTCAGATTCCTGAACAGAGAAGATCTCTTCTCATGGTGCCAAAAGATGCTGTGAGTGTGCAGAGGGTGGAAAAGAAAGCAAGGGGGCAGACCTGGGAGGGGGAGTGACTCCTGTTCAGCTGAGCTCTCAGGGTAGGAGGAAGTGGTGGCTCATTGCCAGCTGGGGTGATGTGTGCTGTGGGTCTGCTCTGTAGAAATGCAGTGTTTGGAGAGAGGTGGAACAAGAGAGAAATGTGTGTCTCCATTCACTGCAGTCCAGAAGAATTTCTTAGATCTGATGCAATCAGAGTATGAGATAAGGAAGCACAACCTTGTTCTATGTGAAGTGGGCATGTTTGGGCAGAGAGGATGCTTGAATTAGGTCAGTGATACAGAGGGGAGCTCTGGTATTCCTGTACCCAGGATTTGGCTGCAGAATCAGCTGCAACTATGAAGGATGGCCCCTGCAGCCCTCCTCTGTCCCCACGCCTCTCACCCACTGAGGGGCTCAGAAACTGCTATTGTCACGTGCCAAACTGATGCATTTGGGTTAGAAGACTCCGGGTTTATATCACAATGAATTGCTGCTAATAAGAAATTGGTTGTCATGACACTTGACTTGTCTCAATGGCAGGTGCCAGGGAGGTGAGACTGCAGCCAGATGCAAAGACTCAGTGGATCTGGAGGGGCCCTGCCCACCTCTCACAGCCGTCCCTCCCTCCGCCCCCTGAGCTCCACAGGATCCAGGATCTGCACTGCACTGTTTTCAGAGAGCAAAAGGCACCCGATGACAGCACCTATGAGCAGTTTCTGGGAAAAGGGCCTGTGGACTTACGGAGGAAATATTCTGCTGTATCGGCTTCATAATCTGCATCCTCAGGGAAGTGATCGATTTGCTTACACAGACCTTTAAAATTCCCTAGGGAACAAGAGAAAAAAAAGAACAAATGAGAACACCAGCAACCTCCTTGAAGGAGCAACTGCCCTCTGTGTTGCTCCTTACTCCCTCCCTTCCTTTCTCCCAGGCAGCATGCACACTCACATGGGGACCATTAGCTGCTGTCCTCACATGCTCACACACCCATCTCTCTCTTCTTCGTACAGGAACACGGGCTGGACACAGACTGATGTCTACTTGGCCCAGTGTCCCTTGCTCTGGGATTTGGAAGCACTGGAGGTTTTGGCCATGCATGGACAAGCGGTCTGTCCCGCCTCTGTAGGAGGTGGAACTGGAGTCACAGATGGCAAAACTCATGGGTTAGCATCCCTTTTCTTGGCATCGACTTGAAACAACTTCAGGTGTTTGCATAGTTACAGAGAGGCCAATTCTCCACTTGAATTTCACCTGGCATAGCCTCGGTGAATTCCAGTGGTGTTGCATACAGAGGGCTGATTGTATTTGTGCAGAGAAGTGTTTGTTTTCCTCTGCTGTGAATTTGCTATACCTATTCATTTCACTGGCGGGATATGTTCCATTGTTCCGCTGTTGTACGAGAAGAACAAAAGCTCCTAATCTACTTGCTCCGTATGACTGCCTGCTTTGTGTGCCTTTAGCAGGCCTCCTCTTATGTCTGCTCACAGATTAAGCCTGCAAGAAGTTCGGCGTGAGTGTTGGGGTGCAGCCCTGCAGCCAAGGAGCCCATGTGCTGGGGGAACCAAATCTTCTGCTGTGGTTGAGAATCTGGGTCACCCGCAGATTCACCAAGCTGGTGAAAATCCTCCATACAGGTTACTTCTACCAGCCTCTCATCTAAAGCCACGGGGCACCCTCTTTAACGCACTCTACGGCCAGCAAAGCCATCTCACCAGAAGGCCTGAGAGATCTTCACAGTCCATCATCATCTGAGATTTCTACCAGTCTCTTCTTTTCAACACTTGTGTCACTCTCCTCTTGAAATTAGCAATACCACAGCAGATTGGTAATCTTTGAGCATAGTCATCATCATGGCCATTGGTTGACTGGACATTGATTAGTATATTGAGGTACCTAGTTGTTCATGTTGGTACAAGGATCTTTGGGAAGGAGGACCACAGTACCCAAGTGGGTGCAGGGCTAGGCATGGCAGTCCCAGGGGCCCCCTAGCTGGAGATCAGCCATCAGTGTTTCAAACTGACTGAGCCCTCAGCAAGGGACTTTACAGCCTGAATGCTGAGAATGACAAGTGTTGTGGCAACCTGAGAAACCTGCTCTGCCATCCTTGCCCAACCATGGTACCAGCTGGGTGTGCAGGGCAGGGGATTTTGAAGCTACCACAACTGTAGATGTTGCCTCCAGGAACGGTTGTTTGTGAGGAACCTAGAGCTCTTCCAGGCTAACTCTTGCCAGACTGAGACCTCAGGCACCATGTCAGGTTCCTGAGTCATGTCTCAGAAGATTTGTTCCAGATGATTTCCAATGGTCTCTCAGGTATTTGGGAATACGTAGAAACATAGATGATTCTCCCTGGGCTTTTCTCCAGGCAAAGCCTTGCTTGAACAAGGTTTGGGAGACTGCACAGACTGAAGTTTCTCTGAGTCAGCCCCAATGCTTGGCTCTTCTGAGTCCTGTCAGTTTTTGCCTGGTACTTGTGAGATTCATATCACCATTCGCTGTTAGTACAAGGAGCACCCAAGAAGAGGAGAGGAGTGTGTGTAAAAGGTAAGCACTAGGAGGAGAAAGTAGGAACAAAGCCTCTCCATGTATCTCTGAAGTGTTATTTCTACATCTAACCCATGGGTTATAAGTTATTAATCACCCTTCCACAATGCAGTTACCTCAAGTGTCTGCTTCTCAGCCATGGCTCTCCTGGAGGGAAAGATCCACAGCCAAGCAAATTTCCCCACTACACTCTCACCTGCTACTTGCCCACACAGTACAAGGCAAGTGGACAGGCAGGCTCTTTGAAAAAACCTGCTCCCAGTGCTGGATGTCCAAAGTGTTCTGCTGCTGATGCTCAGCAGGGTGTTTGGCCATTGGGCTGTCCAAACCTGCTTGCTTAAAATGCCGTGGCACTGAGGAGCTGCTTTTCACCCTGGGATGATGTGCTGCTCTGGTCTGGTCCTGGTTCAGCCCCACTGGTGTTCATGAGGGCAGCGTGGACAACGCTGGTCCCAGTGAGTTGCTGCTGTCTGTGATACAAGCATGGAGCTGTGGCTCCAGAAGACAGATGCTTGCCTGTGCTGCCACGGCTTCTCCTCCAATGCCTCCTAGCTCATTTGGGCAATGGATGGAGAAAGAATGCAGAATTTAGGTCATTAACGTGGTGACTGGGAATAGAGAACAAGATTCAGTTTCTGTCCTGCCACAGGCATGCTGCTGAAACCATTTCTTATCTCTGCCTTGGAGACCCACCTCATGAGATGGGTCATGAGATTGGGACAGCACTGCTCTGCCTTGCACTCCTCCAGAGGGCGCAGGGTGGCTGCACGGCTGTCACAGGCTGTATGTGTGCTCAGGGCAGATGCGATGGCTCAGAAATCAGCTCAGTGTGGAGCAGTCGCCTCTCATGCCAAGACGGCTTGGCAATCCTCTCCTGGACATCTGTGGCCTGCTGGGATGGTGGGACAGCCTCCCCAGCTCCTGTGCCAGTGGAAGCCCCTCAGCCACCTTGTGGGGAGGGGTTTAGAAAAGCTCAGCAGTGTTTCAGAAGTCTGACACAAGGCCCTTCTCCCATTCCGCACATGCTGTTTGCAAAGCCAGGGAGGGAAGAACCATGTTCCACACCACGGTTAGTACCCCTGAATGCCTGTGCATGAGCACATCTCTATTTTGGAGGATGTGCAGGACTCTGGGACCCCTTTAAGGAGAGAGGAAAGATGTATCCTCATACATACTCATGTCCTTTTGCCCTTCCCATTCTTCCTGATGAACTATTTCATGCTGTGAACCCCAGGCAGGTGTTGAGCACTGTGACTTTGCAAGCCCACAAGAAACTCAAGCTACGCATTTCCACCCTCTCATTGCAGCTCTCCCAGCTTCCAGTTCTCCCCTCAACCTCCAGATCCTCCTCCCATTTCTCAGACTCATTCTCTACAGCCAACTCCTTCCATCCAATGTTGCTGTGGGGCTCCTGGGGCAGCCTGATTTTGGATGTGCAGAGCAGCTGGGGAAGAGCTCTGACTTGTCTCAGGGCCAAAAAAGTGTGGTTGCCCAGGTCCATGGAAAACACCCCTAGCCTCTGACATGGTGTCAGCCTTCTGACACCATGGCAATATTCCAGAGCATCTCCCAAGATGTTGCTGGGTGTCCTTCAGTCAGACCCCCAGCATTTACCTGCCCGAACTTTGGAAAGCTTGGGAGCAGAGGCAGCGCTTTGCGCTCTAACCTGCCACAGTGCCAAGAGGGACTCTACGTCTAAAACGCATAGACATCAGCACTGACTGAGTACTTGGTCTCAGAGAGGCCTCCTGCAAGGCGGCCAGCCACCGTTTGGGTACATGCTGTCTATGCAGGGCAGCTGGCAGCTGCCGGCTCTGCTGCAGCGCGAGCCGGACCAAGTTACCCCTGATGGGAACCTGGCTCAGTGCTGTTCATGGCACAGTTTATTTTTGTGCTGCTTTGTACAGCCCTGGCTTTTTCAGAAGTCTCGACTGCCTGCGGAGTGCAATCCGTTGGCAAATAGTAAGTTCCGAAGAATACAAAGCTGCTCCCTTCCCACAGGGAGAAGGGAATGCTTTTAGATGGTCAGGACTGTACATCTGAAAACTGGGAGCCAGAGGGAGAGACATCCAAAAGGAGAGAAACAGACAAAGAGGGAAGAGAACAGAAAGACCTGTTTTTCCCAGAATGATTTGTGGTATTTCCATTTACGGAAAAAAGCAATCCGCTGAAAGCTTTCCTTTAGCCTCCCTCTCTAATTTAGCAGAGGTTTTGGCATGGTGGCTTCTGGAGAAATAAATAAAGGTGGCTGGATATAGCTGTTGTCTCTAAAAGCTCAGAATGATGGCTCAGTGTTAGCCAAGGATTCAGCACCTCCACACATTTCCTGTATCATTTTAGCAAGTCACTTAACCCCACTCTTCTGTCACAGACAGAGCGAATAATGGTATTTCCCTGCCTTGGGGAAACAGCCTGAGGATATCTGTATTAGAAACATGAAGGAGATCAGACACTGGAGCTGTTTGGGACAGATATTTCTCCGCACTTTCCAGTTCAAACATAACGTGCTCCTCCTTGACGTGACCTTCTCTCAGATGAACACGTGAAAGACCTCCCAAATCCACACTTGTGATTCCTGCCTTTAGAAGTAATTGTCATTGCAGATTAAATTGGTATTTACTATTTGCCCATGCAAGAAATGAGGAAAATGGCACAGGAAGGGCAGGAGGGAGGACACAGAGCTCAAACATTTCTTTCTGCTCCAAGATTCTGTTTCTGAGATTATTCCCTTTGGGACCAGGTGGCAAAGCTTGGAACTTGGAGGACAAATTCCAGTGCTGTATGGCAAACTGCTGGTATGTGAGCTTTACAAGTATTGCCAAAGGACTTGCAAGCCAGGAGAGGAAGTTTGCCATCACTGTCCCAAAATGGTGCTGTGATACCAGTGGGGTGGGAAATGGAGTCTGCAGGGCTTAGCCTGGGGAAATACTGGAGATCCTCTGGGAACTAAAGGCCATCAGAAGCCTCATCACCTTCTCACGTAAATGCAGCATGCCTGCTTTGATGTGGCCTTCTCCAACATAAACGTGCAGCAGTGCATATGTTAAACAAAAAACCAACAAAACCCTAGCAACATAACCAGTATGCTGCATACATAATTCTCTCCCTGGGGAGAGGATAAAAGAACAAACCACATGTGACTGATATCAAGCCCCATCACTTAATGTGCCACTGGAAATCATTCAGATATTGTGGCAAAGAAGACTGTAAAAGGACTGATGCAAAATAGAAATTGATCTTACAGTTATTAAAGAATATCCCCCTGCCTACGAGGGAGAACC